CCCCCCCCCCAATCTAGTTGTAGTTCACAGTTATTGAGCATTTTTGGTGGCCTGACAGCATATATAGAATCACTGCTTTTAAAACTAAAACACTAATGTAGGTGTTCCCTTTGTCAAATACAAAGCTGCACATTTGAGATGAACTGTATCAAAGAATTGAACTTAGATATAAAACCAAAATAGATTATTTTTCTTTTTTCTATGCATGGGATTTTATGAGACCACTCCTGGAATTCTTCAGTCAATTCTGGCTGGTGGAATATTTTAAAAGGTAGAGGTGGCACAGAAGAGAGCCTTACTGATTTGTGGAAAAAGGGAAGTGCATTTTTGATGAGATTATTTGGAGTCTGTTCACTTAGCTCGTCAAAAATAGTGATGTGATATTGATGTTCAAACATAGGAAGAAAGTACAGTCTTTTGAAGGACTTCTGAATTTAATGGAGAAATAAAGCCAGTGGCTGAAGCGGAAGTCAGGTGCTGTCAGATTTGAAGACAATATATCCTTCACTGATTGATCAAATGAAATGGCTTCAATTCTTCTGCAATTTCAGCAGTCATGGGAATAGATTGGGAGTGACTAAATAGAATTACATGGTCCATATTGTACTGCTTTTTAGACTGGATGTCTTAATGCTGCTTTCCCGTTCCAATATTTGCAATTTATAGGCATTACTTAGTCTCTCCTTTGGAAGAACTTGATATTAATTGTTGGTCCTAATACTGCTCTTTTATAGCTGGTGTTATGGTTTAAGAAAGTGATTGCAGGAAAGCCTCCTACCTTGAGACCATCTACTAAATCGTGGGAGGGAAGATAATGGATTCTTTGCCACACATGGCTCTTAGAATACTACTGATTGTCATCTGTTCCTCCTCTTCTTTGGTTCTTGCTAGTTGAAGTTCCTGTCCTTGCCAGATACATGGATGAAAGAGTTCTTTCTTGCACACATTTATACAGAGCTGCAGCTGATAGAGGAGGCTCTGCAGAAGTATCAGAGTCTCATTGATGCAGGATTTTCCAAAAGCACTTACATCATCTCTCAGATTGCAGTTGCCTACCACAATATCCGAGGTCAGTGTCGCTTACTAGCTAGTAGGAATGAGCCTCTTAATGCAAACTTGGCATTTATACTTCTTGTTCTCCCATCTGCTGTTCTTTCTTCAGATATTGACAAAGCTTTATCCATCTTTAACGAGCTAAGGAAACAAGATCCTTACAGGATAGAAAACATGGACACTTTCTCCAACTTGCTGTATGTAAGGGTAAGCACTCTTTCTGTTGCCTGTCCATAATGATGGTATTTATCAGAGGTATGTTAAACACTGGCAAAGCAGCTGGTGCTGTCTAGCCTCTCTGAATATAGGCTTTCAGCTTCTGCTTTCTGCTTCACAACTCCATGAAATAGATGTAATGTACGCATTGCTAGCTGCCTAGGTTTTCTTTGAAACTGTAACATTCCTTTTCTCATCACTTTCATTTCTTTGTTTCACTAGAGCATGAAGCCTGAGTTGAGCTATCTGGCTCACAATCTCTGCGAGATAGACAAGTATCGTGTTGAGACCTGCTGTGTAATTGGTGAGAGCCAGCTCTTTTACATGTTTTTATTATGCTGTGTGCAGGCTGTGCAAGGAAATCTTAGAAACACCTGTGAAAACGATCAGCCAGCAAGGCTATCAACACCACTTGGTGAATGTGGTTTCAGGCAGCCTAAAAAGCAGACCAAATGACAGAGTACCCTTTTCCCTCATTTCTCTCTGAAAGAGCTGCTGTAATACTGTCAGTGCAGAAGGGAGTTGATGAAATCATTATGAAGGCCCATGTAGCTGATAATCCCTTTATTTATAGTCTTGAAACTCCAATGGAAATAATTGTATGTCAGAACCAGGAAATGAATTTGTTAGATCATGACATAAGTTTTAAGGCCAGGGGGATGGGATCTTAATTGATTGGTACAACCGGAAACAGATTCACCAGAACACTGGAGCACAGACTGCTATTAGGTCTTTTGAGGTTTGAATCAGGTCTGCCTTTAATAGGCCTCTTTATAATTTAAGTTAAGACGTAGTAGATAATACCTCTTCCATCTGTTTGCTACTTCTCTGCTGGGTTATTTTGTTTGTTTGTGGGTTTTTTTTTAAATTTATTTAAATATTGTGACTTTTGCTTTAGGGAATTATTATAGCTTGCGTTCCCAGCATGAAAAAGCAGCACTCTATTTCCAGAGGGCCTTGAAACTGAATCCTCGTTATCTGGGAGCCTGGACACTCATGGGACATGAGTATATGGAAATGAAGAACACATCTGCAGCTATCCAGGCTTATAGGTATCACTCATGTACTGCACAAAATGATGTTTGAGTCTGCATACATAAGGATTGAAGTAGTATCTTCTATTTTTTGTTAGTCTTCTGCTAAATTCTGTCTTGGTTTTGATCCTGACTGCTTTCTGACTAGTTCATCTCCTTTTCTTTGACAGACATGCAATAGAGGTGAACAAAAGGGACTACAGAGCATGGTATGGCTTGGGGCAAACCTATGAAATCCTCAAAATGCCATTTTACTGTCTCTATTACTACCGACGGGCCCACCAGCTCAGGTAGAGTTGAGAACAGAGCCATGTTTATTGGTGTTCACTCTGATGTGGTTGCTAACTAGCTAAGGAATTTACATGCAGGAGCTAAGTTGGGGAAGGGAGAACATCAATGCTATGTGATTTGTGCAGTCTCACTATTCTAAATCTTTTTTAGTTATATTACTTAATAATTAACAAAGGCTTTGTCAGTTAAATGCCAAGGAACGCTGGTCAGGAGTATAAGTGATGTTTTATGTAAGAGAGGATGACAGATACTGCCGGATGTAGATTCCGCCCCCCAACCCCACCCCCCCCCACCCTGAGATCAGCTGGCTGTCCATTAAACTACATTTAGGAATTGCTCTTTTACAGACCAAATGATTCTCGTATGCTGGTTGCTCTAGGAGAATGCTATGAGAAACTCAATCAGTTGGTGGAAGCTAAAAAGGTGAGAACCGGTGTGTGGAGTAAGACATTAGGATGTCTCCCAGGACACTAGGTGGAGTCGCAGCAAAATTGTGTAGCTAGTGCTACTGGAAATGCATGTGGTGTGGTGTTAGGATCTTGTTGAAACCATTTGTGTGGCAGTTACAATTGGGGAAGTTCTGCTGCAATGTAACTAGAGCAGCTGATAAATGAAAAGGGTCATCTACAGATGATGCATGCCCCTTTGCTGGAAAGCCATGTTGTTTTCTGTTTCTAACTTGCTTGCATGAATCATGAGCTGGAATAATTTTTGTGGTGTGCTTAACTGACCTTCCTTCCTTGACAGTGCTACTGGAGAGCTTACGCTGTGGGAGATGTGGAGAAAATGGCACTGGTGAAACTAGCAAAGTGAGTATGTATTATTACTGAGCTGTTAATATTGTGTTACTTTGACACGTAATGATAAAACACTAGATGTAAAACAAGCAGAATTGCTGTTAGGTAGTATTGATTTTGGAGCTGTGTAATAACTGGTATCTTTAGGTCTGTAGTGACTGCAAATTCTGGTGTCCAGCTTTAGCTTTAAGTTTCCCTCAGGATAACTAGAGGGAATCAGCATAATGTGGGTTGCAAGGGACCTCTGAATCCTGATGTGATTTGAGCAGGCAGTGCAACTGCATTTGTTTGAAGCTTAAAGGAATCCATGATAGTAGATGATGTACAAAATTGTAGATTGATTTTTTAAAAAATTTTTTCCCCCTAGTGCATGGTTGTGACATTGGGAAAGAGTCTAAGGTGAAATAAATGTGAACACTCTAACATCAGCTCTAATTTTTGGTGGGGATAAAGTAATATAAAGTGGAAAAAGTGAAGGGGAAGGAAAAGGGCAAGTGAAAGGTGATGCCGCTGTACAAAGACTTCGGGGATGTAGCGGGGAAAGAAGGAGCACTGGAGGAAATAGCCAGTTAATAGGATGGCAAAGTTGTGTTAAAAGCTTCAAAGCAAAGGTCACTGCTTCTAGCAGTTAGTATCTGACTGGCTCCCTTCCTGGTAATCTAAATGTTCTCAAGCTGGATCATCTGTTTCCATGAGGGGCAGTACACAGTGCATGTCTTGCAAATTCTGAAGGAAAAGACTTGGCTTTAGTCCAGGTCAGGTTGAGTAGGTATTGTCTCATAGACCAAGAAGGTCTTTGACAGTGTAGTCTTGTTCCAGTGGTCCATTTTTCTCCTTTTCTAGGCTGCATGAACAGCTGAATGAATCTGAACAGGCAGCTCAGTGCTATATCAAATACATCCAGGATATCTATTCCTGTGGGGTAAGATGATATCTTGGGAATAAAACGAGAAGTAAATATGGTGTAGAACTGCCTTGGAAGGCACTCAAAGATGATGGTTTTTACCCCCCTCACTGTAGGAGATAGTGGAGCACCTGGAGGTCAGCACTGCCTTCCGTTACCTGGCCCAATACTACTTCAAGTGTAAGCTCTGGGATGAAGCCTCAGCATGTGCTCAGAAATGCTGTGCATTCAATGATGTGAGTAGTTGCGCAATATTTGGTGTTTCTTTCTTAGAGGATCTATGACCTTGATCTTGGCTCCCTTCAGAGTAGAAGGAATCCTTTATTGAAGGGAATGAGGGCTGTCTGCCATGCAGGTCACATCCTGTGTGGTTGTGTTGTATACCTGATCACTAATGCTGCTTATGACTGACTAAAATCATGGAGTATGGTGTAGATAGTAAAATTGAACCATGTGTTATTGGTGTTCACTAAATAAAAGAATTTGAGGCTCCACATGGCTGCCTTAAGACTGCTGAAAATCTTGGTGGTGAGGTGGTTAAATGGTCACAGACTCCCACAGACTGTGTAGTGATGGTACTTGCATAACTTCTTTTTTTCTCATTCTGTGTGTGTAGACAGTGCACAGGATATAACAGTACTTGGGGTTTGTATGTGACTCTGTATTCTGAGATGTTCTGTATCTGTAAGTGGGCAATTTTGGATTTTTAACTTCATCCTAGAGGTAGACACTAGCCATGAGTGCAGGGTGTTTGGCCTGTCCTTCACAAAGCTGTCTGGAACTCAGGAGAACCTGAATTCAGGTTATTTGAAGCTTCTCCAGTCTACTTTTTGCTGGAATATTTAGACAGCTTCAGTGGTTGATAGTAACATGCAAATTAAGTGAGTAAAAGGAGGAAAGACATACCTTAACATTTTTAAGTAGCAGAATAAAAGAGAAACGAGGATTGTTTTTATAGCTTGCAGCCTTACAAAATGACAAACTACTGTAACTTAACTGCTTACATACTGAATTAGACCCAGAAACCACCCATCCATAGGTGTATTGTTTTGGTTTTTTACAAATTATTTTCAGACTAGAGAAGAAGGAAAGGCCCTGCTGCGGCAGATCTTACAGCTTCGCAACCAAGGAGAAACCTCATCCACAGATATTGCTGCTCCCTTTTTCCTCCCTGCGTCACTGTCAGCCAACAACACTCCCACGCGTCGTGTCTCTCCACTGAATCTGTCTTCTGTAACACCATGAACCATGCTGATACTTCTAACCTGTGCATTGAATGTGACGTTGCAGATGGGGCTTGCAACCACTTCTTTCCAGTGAAATTTCTACATTCATTGTTGCCTTCACATGGAGAGCAGGAGTTACTAGAGCCCACAGCTGAAGATGGATGTGCCCCAACAGGCAAAGGTGCAGCCTCTGTGAAAGTGCCTATGCTGAGATGAGAGAACTTGCTGTACTTCTCACCAAGTCATTCCAGTCAGAGGGCAGACATGGTCCAATACCCAGGACTACTCCTAACTGAGGGATTGGGAAGAGCTTGTCTGCTTGAGTTAAAATACATTTGAAGTTGATTCTGCCCTGTTACCTCTGGTCTTTACTGAACTTCTTTGGATGACCTCTTAGTGGTATCATTGCTGTCTACATCAGAAACTGTTACCTGCCTGGTTACTTAAGGACTTCTGCTTGTCTTAAACTACACAGAAGATGTTCCACTAAAGCAGTAGATACAGGCACTTAGATATAGGTGCCACATCTATGTTGAAGGACTGAGAAGTGTCAGAGGAATTGCAGGTAGCCACAGGTGACAGCTGTTTGCTGGTCTGTCTGTGGATCTGACACACACTTTGGCTTTCAGGAGAAAAGCAGCCAGCGGGATAGCACAATTAAAAAACTAATGGTTAAGTTACTGTCCTTGGGCTTCTTTATGGTGCAGCTTTCATGTGTACTGTAACAAATGAAATTGGATGAACTGTAATGGATGATTTTATTAAGGATTGCCACATCTTGTGGACAGCATGGTGCAGCAGATTCGTAGAATCATAGAATGGTTTGGGTTGGAAGGGACCTTAAAGACCATCTAGTTCCAGCCCCGCTGCCGTGGGCAGGCACACCTTCCACTAGACCAGGTTGCTCAAAGCCCCATCCAGCCTGGCCTTGAACGCTTGCAGGGAGGAGGCATCCACAACTTCTCTGGGCAACCTGTTCCGGTGCCTCCCCACCCTCATAGGGAAGAATTTCTTCCTTATATCTAATCTAAATCTACCCTCTTCCAGTTTAAAGCCATTACACCCCTTGTCCTATCATTACACGCCCTTGTAAAAAGTCCCTTTCCAGCTTTGTTGTGGGCCCCCTTCAGGTACTGGAAGGTTGCTATAAGGTCTCCCCAGAGCCTTCTCTTCTCCAGCCTGAACAACCCCAACTCTCTCAGCCTGTCTTCATAGGAGAGGTGCTCCAGGCCTCTCATCATCAGAACTAGTACATTTGTTTTGCTGCAGAAATTGTTTAATTTACATTATAAGAACTTGCTGTTTATGTGGCATAAGAATCAATCATCAATTGTCATTACTACCTACTGGTTTTTATAGGTCACTGATGTTTGTAACAAGATGTTACACATTATTTATGTATTATAATATAGTAGACTGGCTTGTAATTTTAAATATTCTAATAGGCCATAGTAAAAAAAAAAAAAAAAAAAGGAGGTTCCATTATACCTTCAGTTTTAAGACAGTAGGTAACCTCTACTCGTGTAGTTTTCTCCTTATTCTTAACAAATCACTCCCACCTTGCGCAATGAATGTCATTACCAACAGGGATTGTCACACTTCCAGAGCTGGCATAACAGCAGACATGTTAATCAGCACACTTTCATCAAACACAAGTTTCTGAACTTGGCATTAAGTGCCATTATCTAAGCTAGGGGTAGGGAAGGCATGGTGGGTTTCCTTCTCCTTTTCTGCAAGATTCATGGTAAAGGTTTGAAACACTGTCACTTAGAGTAAGGCCTAACAACTTTAAGGGGGACTGATGGAATTTGGTGTTCAGGGTGGAGGACTCAAAATTCAGCCTTTGTCAGCTAGCTTTGTTCTGGTTTTGCCACTGACCAGGGAACCACTTTATAGAATGGAGATAACCTGCAAATCAGTACCGAACTAAACTATCTTTTAGTTTCTAGAAATGTTTTTTTCCTGCGTGTTGCTGTGATTAGAAAAAAAAAAAAAAAAACAAAAACAAACCCACATTTGTCTTTACTTTGTTCACAAAAAGAAGTCTATTTTTGCAGAAAAACTAACACCTTATCTAACCAGGTCTAACAGCGATACTTATCTTCTCTGTCAAGTGCCAAAAGGGTAGTGCTAGGAATTCTTGGTGTGTTTATTGTTGTCAGCCTATTGACCTCTTCCAGGGATATCGCTGTCTTCAGAAGGATGGAGATGAGGAAGCTTCTGAAGAACCTGAAGAGCAGGGGCTTTCGTGGCACGACTGCCTCACCGACGCTGGGGCTGTGCAGAAGTGTGCCTGCTTTTGCAGTTTATTCAGATGCAGAAACAGTTCCGATTAACAGTCTGGGCTGGAGCTTGTTCCCCAGAACATTATGGGATGCCTTTCCATTGAGGTTCATGGCCTCGTGGAACGCCAGTTAGGCGTTGTTGGGGTTGTGTGTGTGTGTGGGGGGGGCTGTGAAGAAATTCTCTCTTGCAAACCCGTCCCGTTGATGGCGCGTTCCTGTAGGA